CACCTCCCCCCGACCCCCATCTTTCCCCACAAAATTGTCCTTTTTTCTCTGTTTTGTGTTCCCGGTCTTAGGTCCGCTCACAAAAAAACGTGACGAGGCGACGCTCAATCCGCCGGACACAGGTAGATTTAAAAATCCGGCTGCTGCATGTGGTTGCTGATAAGAGGACGGTCACGGCCCTGCCCCTAACTAAATGCCCCCGCAGCCCTCCAGGCCCCTAAGTCGTTGTCCCCAACTAAACACGAAAAAGAAAAGAAAAGAAAAATTTGTAATAATTGGAAACGAGAATTGTGAAAACAGCAAACGCAATCTGAACCATGTTGGACCCACTAGCGAACCTGCAAGAAAAGCTAAACGCAGCAAAAATGAAAGTGAAAATACAATTGGATGTTTAGCGTTTGACAGAAATTTGGGCTGGCTTGCCACTCGTGACGAGTAACAGTTGAGGGAGAAAACAAAAAAGCCACACAAACTTTAATTTGGAGCAAGACTCCATTTGAAACAGACACAAATCTAAAGTTGGCAAATTGGTGGCCCAGTTGAAACGGCAGAACCAAAAGCCTGCTACGATTTCCAAAAGCCTAGCAGATGCAGGAAACGCAAACATTCGAAGCAAATTAAAGAATTTGGAAATTTTTGAAAGCAGGGCCCAATATCTTGGAGTTTCACCGCAAAATTTTGAAAAGAAAAAAAAATGCAAAGAACTTTTTTCTTTTTTTCTTTTTTTCCGGAAAAAAAAAAAAATGGATCTTTTTGGTTTTTGGGTTTTTTTTTTTTCTTTTCTTGTCGAATCTGCCCCCCGAGAGCTTCTTGTTTTTTGGTTGTTGTTTTTTTCTTTCTTTCTTCTTTCTTGATCCTGTTTTTTGTTGTTGGTTTTGAATTCTTGTCGCCCCCCAGCTCCCCTCCCTGCTCCTTCCCTTTCTGACCCCCCCCTCCTCCCACACTGGGAGTGGAGGTGCCGGGTGGGGAGGAGGGGGAGAACTGAGGACTTTAAGAGAGAGCCTTGCAGGGCGGACTCCAGCCCGAGTCTGGAGCAAGGGGAAGAACAAGGTTTGGAGAGGGCGCAGACAGGGCAGAGCCCATCAGGCATGGGGAGGTGGCAGAGAAGGTCCTGAGAGACTGGAGGCTGGAAAGCTGTCCGTAGGGGTGGAGGGGAGGGTCTCAGTGGCCTGCGGGCTGACCTCGTGGCAGGAGCAAAGTTTCCAGCAGGAGGGAGGTGAGCAGAGGCCCTGGGGATGGGCTGTGGAGGCCCAGGCCCGGCTCTCTCGTTTGTTGAATGCCCAGGCTAGTCAGACATGGCAGGTGTCAAGAAGGAGGAGGGCCCGTGGGGCCACGGGTGACCCCAGCCTGGCGCTGTGGCTGAATCGTGTGGGAGGGGCTGCAAGGGAGGGTACTTGCCATAGCCCTGGGGACCACTGTGGCGGGCCCTCCCAGGCTCCCACCCTCTTTTGGAATCTGTCACTCCTCGGTGTGGTCTTGAGGGCCTCAAGGGCCTACCGCACGTGGCAGTGATTGACGGGATCCTTTAGGGACATGGCAAGAGGGATGT